AAATCGAGAATCGGGAAGGCGAGAAACACATTCATCAACCTGAAACCAATCTGGAAATCTTCGTCACTCAACTCAGCATCAACAACAAAATTCGGATTTTCAATACAAACGTCAAGTCAGTCAGTTCTTCCTCTATACGGATCAGAAACTTGGCCAGCGGGTCACAAAGAATATTTCCAACAGCCTGTTGCAGACCTTTATCAACAACTGTCTTCGTTCTATACTGAAGATCAGATGACCGGAAAGAACAAGAACCAGCAAGAAACTATGGGAAGAAACAAAACAAGAACCAATCGCCCAACAAATATGCAGGAGAAAGTGGAGATGGATTGGACACTCGCTGAGGAGGCCGTTGGGTGACATCGCGCGTCAGGCCAGTGCTCGAGTGGAACCCGAAAGGGAAGCGGCGAGTGGGACTTCCAAGGGTGACATGGATGAGATCGTGTGAAGAGGAGTTAAAACAGTATGGACTAACATGGATGCAGGTGAAAAGTACAGCAGAAGACAGAATCAGGTAGAGACGTGTATTTGAAGACCTATGTCTCACTAGGAACCCAAGGGAACAGTAATAATAATATATACATAAAACTGATTTCCGGATATTCAATACAAATCTGCAATCCAATTGTTAAGAGAAATATCGGAGAACGATAAAAGGCAAAATTGCATGGATTTATTTGACTCTTATACTGATGATATTGGTTAAAGGGAGGTGTAAGTTTTTACACAGTTACCACAATTAATTTGCATATGAGCCAATCAACAGAGGGTATGATTGTAGAAACTAATTGGTAAGTTCATTCAAATTTGAATATTGTTGAATAGTGTTGTTGGCATAATTTTCAAAGTACTGGTAACTGCAATATTATTGTTTCACTAGTGAATTAGGTGCTTGACTTATGACACGATGATATTCCTGACTGATGAATAAACTTGTGGCTATCGACGTCTTTGCGATCACATGAGTGTAGTTCAGTGCATATTATTTCTTTTTCTTCAATTTAAGACTAGACTTCTGAAAGAATAATGAAAATTCCTCCCAAAATTACTTACACTTGTATTGTTGACAGATACTGAAACATTGGGCTTCAAACCTAATCTATTAAGTTTTAGTAGATAATTTGTTTCTTTCAGAGGGTGGGGTTGCCGGCCACACACCCAACCTTGCCTCTTTACTAGGCTTATTGTCAGCTAACCAAGATTTTGGAACAGAATTAAATATAATTAATTAAACACAACACTAAAGAGGACAGCTTCTTGAAAACGTCCGTTGAACTGCTGAAGAACTTGAATAATGAGCAAAAAATCATCTCTTGTAGAGTAATACTGAAAAGTAAAGTGTCCAAAACTGAAATTCACTAAATCCCTCAAACCAGCACTTGAAAATTAGTCAGGTGTTCCCTGTTGATTGACCACGAGATGAAGTCACCTGGAGTTTTAATAGCGGGTCATGATAAGCAGCATCCGCCAAGTTGGGCGTCAGAACAGATGCTCACCGATGACATTGACTGAGGGTGGTGCTATATCGCAGTGTCTGAAGTTAGCATTGATAGGTACTGGATCCGATCCCAGTGGATGAATGGTGTACTAGTTAACCCTGTAAACCAAAGATCCTCGGTTCAATCCCTAGTGCGGTTACAAGTGCGTACTTCTGAAAAGTTGCCAAATAAAAACGGAACAGCTGTCCAGTACTTCCTGGTTTGTAATGGTTCTCTGACTGAAGTTGATTTGTGATCAAAAAGGAAATCAAATAACTCCCAACAAGCCAACACTTGTGAATTTTAAAGACGAAGCGCCACAATATATGTATTTAGATATATACCTATTAAGTATCTTCTAAACATACAGTAGCGACATACAAATTAAAGCAATGGGAAGCTGACGGTGAATTATCTTTCCACAAAGGAACTGAATTGCTTGTCAATGAATATGGTTGGTAACAATCCCACTGTGTTTCAGGGATTACGATGACATCATGTGCGATAACTCATGACTTCAAAGTTCATCATTCTTCTTTTTAGTAGAGTTTCACTCTTGTAACCCAACAGTTCAAGAGTGTGCATCTCACATAATGATACTGAATTTCATAACTAATTAGTAGGCTAATGAAGCCGTAGCGAATACTGAAAGCTTTCTTAACACCCCCTCTGGATATTCCATAGAATGTGGAGGAAACAAAAACACGTATGAAGAGTTAATTATCGGTTCATTTCAATAAGACACACGTTATGTAATTACGAGCTCCAACTAGTGAATAACTTCTATCATTCCATAGCCAAATGCTTAACACTATGATGCTTGAAGTAATGACTATTGGTTTTGGAAATTTCAGTTGCAATATCATCACTTGCTAATATATATGTATATCCAGCTGACGAGTCCGGTGCATGACAAAAAACAAATCACGTTCAGTAGGACATCAAGAAGACAGAAATCAAGCTAATGAATGTCGTGGCACCCAGTGAAGCAACCCATGAACCGAAGAAAACTAAAAAGTCTACTTCAATAAAACAAAATATAACAAACTGAAGACAGGAAAACATGGTACTTAGATCACCCTATTTTGATAGATCGTCTTTTAAAAACAACAGAAATTGTGTACTATCACCTAATTAGTTATTAGTTTTCTCTCTTATTCATTAATTGTAGATTCTTGTCTCGTTCTTCAGAAAAACGTGATTGTCTTATTGTATAGTATATTATGTTGTTTTAACTTGAATGATTCGTGGTCAACATCCGAGTTAAATCAGTTCTTCTATATGGGTCAAAAACTTGGCGTACGCATCACGGAAAGCATTTCCAACAACCTGTCGTAGACGTTTATTAACAGGCACATTCGTCAACCTCTTAATGAAGACCAAATGTCCAGAGAGAATTAGCAACAAGAAACTCTGTCTGGGAACAAACCAACCAAAAACCGATTGCTCGACAAATATTCAGAAGAAAAGGGAGATAGATCGGATATACGCTGGGGAAACCCTCAAATGATATCGCGCACCAGGCATAACCACCAGTGGAACTCGAATGGGAAACAACGAGATGGGAAGGCGTCCGAGGGTGGAATGGAGGAGATGGTATGAGGAGGAGATCACAGACTATGGGTAATCGTGGAGCCAGTTGAAGAGGACTACGGAGAATAGAACAAAATAAAGCTGGATATTGTACTCAGAACCCAAAGGAACAATAATATTATAATAAATAACTTGAGTGATTTCTTTGCATATTTATAATTGATTGTATACTGTGACTTAATTGAACCGCAGAAATATTCTTACTTCTACAAATTACTTATCAATCTGCACTCCATCGCAGACAATATCCCAAGTGGGTGACGGGTACACGAACTTACATTCACATGGAAATATAAAAAGCATATTTAACTGAACATAAAAGAATATATCCGTTACTTGCTGGGAAATGGCTGGTAGTGGAATCCAGGATGCCTTTTTCCTCCTATTTCAGACTTATCAGATGGATATATCTGCTTCCCAGTAAGTGGTGGCGTTCCTGCTGAGACTCGAATCCACTGTCAGTCTCTTCGGACGAAAAGGCATTATCCACTAGGCCATAATGCAGGCTATCGATTGTTCATGGCTCATTATTATTATTATTTTTCCCTTGGGTTCCTAGTGGAACATAGGGCTTCAGCTGCACGCCTCCACTTGCTTCTGTCTTCTGCTGTACTTTTCACCTGCATCCATGTTAATCCATACTGTTTCAGTTCTTCATCACACGATCTCCTCCATGTCACCCTTGGAAGTCCCACTCGCCGCTTCCCTTTCGGGTTCCACTCGAGCACTGGCCTGACGCGCGATGTCACCCAACGGCCTCCTCAGCGAGTGTCCAATCCATCTCCACTTTCTCCTGCATATTTGTTGGGCGATTGGTTCTTGTTTTGTTTCTTCCCATAGCTTTTTGTTGGTGATTCTTTCCAGCCATCTGATCTTCAGTATAGAGCGAAGACAGTTGTTGATAAAGGTCTGCAACAGGCTGTTGGAAATATTCTTTGTGACCCGCTGGCCAAGTTTCTGATCCGTATAGAGGAAGAACTGACTGACTTGACGTTTGTATTGAAAATCCGAATTTTGTTGTTGATGTTGAGTTGAGTGACGAAGATTTCCAGATTGGTTTCAGGTTGATGAATGTGTTTCTCGCCTTCCCGATTCTCGATTTGACATCCTCGTCCGTTCCATGTGCCTGTAGTTGAGACAATGCTCCCTAGATAATTGAATGAAGTAACCTCTTTCAAATCCCTCCCGTTGATGGTGACTGGCACTGGATGTTGCTGCTGTTGTTGGTTGGTTATTTTCATAACCTCCGTCTTGTCTGTGTTCATCATCTGGAGTCCTGTCTTCACCGGCTGCTTCTTCGACCAGTTTGTCGGTTTTTGCTTGTAAGTCTTTGATTTTGTGTGACATCAAACATAAATCATCCACGCGCGAAATCCAGGTTTTCTAGGTTCTTCACGTCGGTCCAGGATACCCCTGTCTTCTCGTTTCCCACTGTCTGACGCATAATCCAGTCCACCACAATTAGGAATATCATTGGTGATAATAAGCACCCTTGTCTGACTCCTGTGTTTACTGTGAACGCCTCGCTGAGTTTTCCGTTGTGGATCACTTGACATGTGCCGTTGTCGTACAGCTATTGAATAAGGTTGATGAATATTTGGGGCACGCCATAGTGCTCTAGTAGTTTCCAAATTACTTCACGGTTCATGGCGTATAATTTAAAGTTATTTATTCATGTTTATCATATGTAAGGATACCATAAGTCACTCAAGATTAGTTAGATACGGCAACGGACTCTGAAATAGGATGAGACACGCTTCACGGACACGAATGCCAGGCACTAATTATCGAGCATATTTGTTGTTAAAGTAGTTAAATAAAGACCAATCACACAATGATCTAGAGATTTCGTTATGTAGATTAAATTATTCTAGAATAAAATGCATACACTTTATAAATTAATTACCTGTTACTGGTATTTTATCTCGTTTAATTCACAAGACCAGACAAAAAAACACTCACTTTTAACAAATTTCCTTCATCATTTTGAAAAGCTCGAATCAAATTTAAAGGACGTTGAATTGTTGAATATATATAAACAGGAATTTGAATTGAATAAACATCTTGTATACTTTTTAAAAGTTGTATGACCTGTCCAATATATCAAAGAATATGTATTTATATTATAAATAGTTAAATATTTATGCCATTAATAACAGAGAATTTATACACTGACACTTAGGTGTAATGAGGAGGTTTCAAGAAAGTGTAGCTGGGGTGAGAGATGGTTGCTAGCCAAATTGATAGACAGTAACTGACGTCAATGTTTATGTCTCAAATATTAGTCATGTGAAAACAAGGTCAGAGATGGACAGTAGACTTTGCGTAGGCGGATACAGTTAGCATATAGATGATCTGACACAGCCACAAAGAGATGTAAGGTTAACCTTCTGTGAGAAACAACCAATCAAAAGACTGTATTTTCTACTAACAATAATCTACAATAATGTACATTAAAATCTATAAATATATGTCAATTTTCCTTAATAAACGATCTGTTGCCTGAATCTTGCCTTCTGTCGTTACAATTGGTGTCGCTGCCTCCGAACAATGAAGATCCCATGGCCAACTGCGTTTGTAGGAGGAGACATACGGAGCTTCTTACGTGACTTCGAGGCCGTTGCTGGGTTGGTGGGTATCAAAGAGCAGGCGGCGAAGGCGGTTGTGCTGGGGACGCTGTTGAGAGGCCGAGCGAAGGCGGCATTTGACAGCGTAGAGAGGTCAGATGGCACAGGGTCTTGGAAGACAGTGGTTGAACGATTGGTGTCGGAGTTCGACAGTCCAACAGACAGACAGCTGGCAATGCAGCAGTTCCGTTCAACGAAGCTGAGACCTGATGGAGATCCGTTAGTATTAGCGGTGAAATTGACGTCAATTACTGTCTACCAATTTGGCTGGCAACCATCTCTCACCACATAGCGAAAAACAATTTCAGATATTGAATTATATATATTTTTTTGTAACCAAAATAGTGGATGAAGCTGAACTATTTGACCCCAACAAGATGAGTGAATGAGTGACTTTGGATCAACCAGATGGAGTAAACGAAGGAAACCAATTCTCTAAATTCTGAAGCGAAGTCATCTATCTCTACCTTTTGGATTGATAGATTCAAGGTCACTGGTGAGCTGATTCTTTCGTAATCTTATAGCTGAACTTTGGTTTTTAGAAGGCCAAATGTAAATCTCAGTTATAAGCGCGCGCACACACACACACACACACAAGGATTTTATTCAAGCTTATATGTTTATATGCTCTATCGAAAGCACTTAGAGTTGGTTAGCTGTGCATTTGTCAATTCACTCGATGCTGTGGACCTGGGTTTTGTCCAGTAGAGCACAAGAACCCTATTCTGCAGGGTTACAAAGAGATAGTAGTGAGGCTATAAGAAGCGCGACAGTTGAGCATTTATCGATACTGGTCAGCTTATTTATACAGCCTTTTCCTTTAAATTTATGTTTTAAGGCGAGAAATAACCAGCCTCAAAAATTCTGATGCATCCGACTCATATGTATGGCTGAAGCTTTAGCCATCGAAGTAGAAAAGCTGTACCTTCTATGTGAAGAAGAATTTTGTTCAACTACTCCGTGTTTCATGGTCTTTATCCGCCAATGCTAAACTATTACAATCTTCGTTCCTTCTTTGGTTGTATTTATTTTTCGTTTGGTTTATTCAGCTTGCATATCCTTCTGTTATTATTATTATTTCGTTTGTTATTACTAATTTCCCATTGAATGATTTTTGATATTATCTCACCTGTCACTTTTTGTTTGTTTAGTTCAATATAGCTTTGTTGCAATATTGTCTTATCATAATTATCACCATGTTGTGTAATGTTTTAACTGCCCACTAATCTTATGATTTCCACACACACGCGCACACCTTTTGAGATTTATACAATTCATGAACTACTTTATAAAGTACATAACTGACTGTTTTCTTTTGTCATAATTTAAATAACGTAGTGAAGGTTAGTCGGAGTTCAGCCGCAAAGAAGGTTTTCTTCAATGAGCGCGAAAAGCAGTTTCTCAGTATTTCTGTGTATGAGTCTCTTTTGAATTGTAGATTATGGTGGAGTAATTTTAGGAACAGAAAGTCAGGGCTGTTTTAGTGGTTTACGCTTCATGGATATTGTGATAAGACGTTCTTGGTAGCCATTTTTGAGAGTGTCCAGTTTTTCTCTTCCATAGTATCAGGGCTGTAAATGCTGTGGCTCAGTGAACGTCCAATTAACAAGATGTGAATAAGATGGAACACTAAAAAGATTCATTTTACAGAAAGCCGACGTGGAGCGGACAACATACAAACTTCCATAGCTCGGTACCCTTTATACAGAACGAAACTTGATCCATTCACCGAGCCGTAAAACCCTCAGCATATGCAGTCCTGATACTATGGAAGAGGAGCTGAGCACTGTCAAAAGAATCCTCCTCGAAAATGGTTACCCAGAATGTTTCATCAAACAATCTGTGAAACCTAAACCACCAAAACCGTCAACACTTTCATTATTCAAATTATTTTGAGAAAAAATAATAAGATAATCCAATTCACACGTCAGTAACAAAAATTCAGTAATGCCTCTAAAAATGTGAAGTTATTCTACATGGAATAACTAAAGTGGCTTTTCAAGTGTTGGTTTGTAGGGATTTGAGTGGTTACAGGATTTCATCATGAGCTGACATTAGTTAGAGAACCATTGGAAAACCTGGGAGTACTGGACAGCTGTTTCGTCCTAGTTTGGGGCTCTTCATCAGTACGCACCCACCACAATTGTTCAAACCCAGGACCTTCTAGTTACAAGGCGAGCTCGTATACCATTAAGCCACTGGGACACGATCCAATGGCCAGCTCATGAATTCTAACTTCTGCCAATTCACGACATTGCGCGACCCCTAGCCAATGTCTTCGGCGAGTGTTTGTCCTCACACTCGACTAGCTGCACCCTACTGGTCACCCTACTGGCTTTTACTGAAATAAAAATAGAAACAAAGGACTGTAATGGAGCATAAATATGTAACAATAGTTTTATTTAGTAAAATACATTTTTTCTTTCTGAGTGAAATATGGGACCTTGAGACTGAAGTTTCGGCAATGGTAGTTCTGTTTTATACGAAGTGAGGTTGTTAGCTTCATATCCAACTTTTCATCTTTTCCGGGATTACTAAAAGCTTGTAACCCAGGTGACGTTGAGAAATGCATCAGTAGGCAATCGAACCCAAACCTTACTTGTGGGATATATCATTATTTATTTATTGAAGAACAGTGAAAATACAATTTGTTGCTCATAATCATATCCAAGTCCTTACATCACATATTTCAAGTTTTCTTCATACTAGTCAAATTAATTCGTATCCTTTGATCTTATCAGTAATAATATTTGTCATATCTTGGTTATGGGTGTTGCATCATTTCCAATACAGATGGTCGGTGTACATTCGATAAAGTAGGATTTAGGGATCAGTCACCTAATTATATTAGCTTTAAGAACTGTAGTTCTATCCCACCTTCTTGTGTGCTAGGGTATGTATGGTGACCGATGACTTTTTCTTTAAGTTGGCCAGATTGTTGGGATCAATCATTCAACAGCCACCTTAATTCTTATGCTCTGGTAACTTAACTAACCTCTATCTACTGGAGTGATCTATGTGGTTGACCTCACAGTCACTGAAAGGTGTTTTGAAGATTAGGTTAATTTCTTCTAATCTGGTTAACAAGGGTATTCAGTCTCAGAGTATGACCCTGTGGTTCTGTATATTATTTTCTTAGATTGCAACACTGTGGATGCCCTAAAATCCTTATTATTTAGGTTATAGTTAATAGATTAATTATTATTTATCTTCTTATTGTTAGTTTCCCTGAACTTATTAGTGGTTTCTTTGAAATATTTCTATGGAAAAATTCTTCTTCCATATGCTTAACCTTATTGTACAGGCTCTGTGATATACTGCTTACAATTATAACTGCATTACTTTCAGACGTAAATAAGTTTGCATTTAGAGATAATTATTTTTATTACTGTCTCCTTTAGTTCCTAGAGGAACATAGAGCTTCAGCCGCACGTCTCCATTGCGTTAGGTTCTGTGCCAACGTCTTCACCTGGCTTCACGCCTGCCCACATGCTTTCATCTCCCCTCCACATGACCTCTTCCATGTCACCTCACCCTCGCACTGACGACCAACTCGCCGCTTCCCATTCGGGTTCCACTCGAGAGATGGCCTGACGTGTCATGTCACTTGATGACTTGTTTTCTCAGAGTATGGCCAGTCCACCTCCATTCCTTCCTGCATATTTGTTGCACAATCGGTCCTCGGTGGGTTGGTTCGCTCATTGCCAGAGATCCCTCTCTGTTGCTGATCTTTTCTGGCTGGCCATCTGATCTAGAGTAGTATTGAGCGAAGACAGCTGTTGATGGAGGTCTGTAGTTTGTTCAAAGTGCTCTTCGTGACGCACTGGTTAAGTCTCTGATCCATCCGTATAGTAGCACTGACTGACTTTACATTGGAGTTGAAAATCTGGATCTTATTTTTGATGCTGAGTGCTGTTAATCTCCACATATACTTTAGAGTGATGAAAGCTTGACTTGCTTCCTCGATCCCCGCTGCACTGATATACTCATCAGATCCGTCCACCTGTAGTTGAAACGATGCTTCCCAGGTAGGTAGGTAGATGAGGGAGGTTGATTCTTTCAGATTTCTCCCATTTATGCCGGCTGATTGTTGTCTGTTGTTCTTTCTGTTGCTGCTGGCCATGAATCTTCATCATCACCTCTGTCTTCTCTATGTTTACCTGAAGTCCTTCCTATCTTCCCTGGATGCTTCTTCTATCGTCAACTTGTTATGTTTCATTTGCATATCTTCCAGTTTGTCGGAAACCAGACATTTATCATCGGCGAAGTCCAGATCCTCCAAGTTTTGTGTGGATCCATTTTGTGCCTGTTTCCCCGCTGCCCGCCGCTGTCTGTCGCATTATCCAGTCTACCACATTCAGGAAAATCATTGGAGATAGTAGGCAGCCAGCCAGCTTGTCTTACTCGAGTCTTCACTTCGAAGGACTCCGTGAGTTGACATGATAAATTAATTACTATATTAAAACTTATGCTTTATATCTACTGAAAGATGCATTTGTTTGAAGCATTGAAGACAGATAGATTGATTGATTGATGTTTGGCTATACAGATTGACGTATCAGTTCAGGTGATTACATTTCTCTAAGGGAACCAAGTATGGTAGGAATACTGTTTAGAAAATCTCTCCTGAAAGATCTAATCACAATATCTGTACATATTTTTAGTTTTTCAACTAACTTTGTAATTATTATCCGTAATTCTTCTAGACTATATATCCTTACTTTGACATTTACACAGCACGTGTTGATATGATCCTCGTTATATGTCTTTGTCCTTGTTTAATCTCTAATTTTAATGCTTCTTCTTTGTAGTTGTGCAAAACATTGGTTATGTGTTGTTTTAGGATATGATTTTGTTTGAGTGAATCAAGGTTGTTCTGATCTTGGATTGTCTGAGGGAAGCATTGGTGTGTGATTCTCGTGGATTGAGGTTTTGATCCCAGCCGTCTTGGAATATTCTACGTGGTTCTAAGATAATTCTTACAGTCGAATTTTGGTTAACCACTTTTACTCTACAGCACTTGCTTTTCACCTGGAAAGTTACCTCGTCTGTATGTCTGTCTAACGGGGCTGTTGAGGTAGTTTTGGTCTTTTGATGTTGTTATTATTATTGCTGAAGACAACCACACTTTGCGTCGGTGGCACAGTGGTTAGGACTCTCGCCGACCATGCACATGGTCTGGGGTTCGATCCCCTGCCGACGCACACCTGATATCTATGGTCGGCCTGCAAAATTTGGGCTACCGATATCCATGCTGAAAATTCCATACTTTTACTGAAAATACGGTGTGTAATCAAGCTGTAATCAAAATTAAAAATTAATTAAAATTAAAATTCCAATCATAAACAATAGTGAACTGGCAGAAGACGAAAATCATAGGCCTTTGGATCTCGTTCAAGTGGCTTAATATTCTACGACCTAGCCTTATAACCGGAAGGTACTGGGTTTTAACCCCGGTGAGTGCGTACTGTCGAAGAGTTCCAGGTTGGGACGAAACAGCTGTACAATACTTGCGGGTTTCCCAGTGGTACTCTTCATGATGAAATCCTGTAACCAGTCAAACCAAAACCCTGAAAACCAACACTTGAAAATAGTCTTTTTGTTGTCTTTCGAGCGTCTTGTGACAATGGATTTCTCTAGGAAGTCTTGGAGAGCTGTAGAATAGAACACAAGGATCTGTTCTCTGAATTTAGATCGCTATGAGTAGGTTTTCTTTTCTACATAGAACGACAGGGATAGTTTGAATGAATTCTGTATGCAAGCTTTTTATCATTCCTACAGGTAAAAACGTTTCACTGAATAAAAGACTGAATCGAATATTTGAAAATAAGACTGACATGCGTTATTAAATCAGACCGCTGGTATATAGCAAGAGTTAGGAGAAAAAATACAGGTGATCTTACGAAACCATTCAAACTGTAGTATCTATACACAGAAAACAAACAGACAGGAGTGTTAGAGATGTGTGATAATGACACTGCTGAATAAATTAAAGTATCATAAAACACTATACAATTATCGGAATATGTGGACCACAGTAATCGAGACTTGCACTGACCAAGTATCAGCTCATGGAAAGTGTCGAAGGTATTAAAAAAATGACATTTGAAAACATAACAACAATCGACTATTAAAAATGTCAGTAATAAGGCTTGCAAAAATCAACTCACTGTTTTAAATAAATTTATCATATTTCTAAGTTTTGTTTAGAAAACTTGACTCTATATCTTAAAAAAGCAATTTATTCAGTATGTACATTCTACTCTATTTAATTAGATTGACAATAATTTGTAGGTGGACTGGACGAAAAGTGTGATGAACAGGTAATACCATAAAACTGTCTACTGTCTCTTACCACGAGAAGTTTGATCCATAACTGTTACGTCTTATATTCATTCTTGTATACTCTCTTACGCACAGTTCTAGTAACCCAACTTATTTTCTACGACAAACTGAACAGTTTGTGTTGATTGATAGCGATGAGTAGCAGTGGGATCCAAGATGCATATTTCATCCTGTGTTGAGACTCGTCATCTAGATGCAATTGCATCCTCAGTGAGTTTTGGCATTCCCATCAAGGCTTGAACCCTTTACCCACCGTTTCAAATGCTAAAGAATTGTCCACTAGTCTGCCGAAATGCTCGGTCTCTGCAACATGTCAGCAGAGACTGAGAGTTTTCACTCAACAAAATAAATCAATAGGAATTGCAAATCAAGTGAAATAATGTTGCTTGTCTAGTGATAACTAACAGTGAAATCAATAATGCCTGTTTAGGACTCTTCTCAGGGAAATGTATTATATTTTACTCCCGCTGAAACCCAAGCTCACCATTCAATACTAGAATTCTTAAATTATGACAATAGGTATTTAAAAGAAAGATTACTAGATGGGAATTTCAGCAGAAATACTAACTGATGTCGGATCAAAATGAAATCCTCCAACCAATCAACCAAATCCCTACAAACCAATACTTGAATATCAATGAGATGCTCACTGGCGACTTGCCCTATTCAGGTAGGTAGTTACCTGGGGTTCCAGTGGGAAGTCGTGACCAGTAGGGTGCAGCATGTCGGGTGTGAGGACAAATACTCGCCGAAGACATTGGCTAGCGGTCGCGCTATATCGTGAATTGGCAGAAGTTAGAATTCATGTACTGGCCATTGGATCGGGTTCCAGTGGCTTAATGTTATGCGAACTCGCCCTGTAGTCAGAAGGTCCTGGGTTCGAGCCCCGTTGGATGCGTACTGATGAAGAGTTCCAAACTAGCACGAAACAGCTGTCCAGTACTCCCAGGTTTTCCAATGCTTCTCTAACCAATGTCAGCTCATGATGAAATCCTGTAACAAATCAACCAAATCCCTACAGACCAATACTTGAAAAATAAAGAAATTCTATCACTCAAGAGGAATATAAGTACATCAGTTCTGTGAGTTTGACATAGACATAAAAGTTAGAAGGGAGCGGGGAATTTCACCCAGATTTGGTGTTTGAATGGTATACGAACTCTCTTTGTACCCTGAAATTGCTAGTTTCAATCTCTGTCGAGGTTATGGATGTGTACTGCTGAAGTGTTCCAAACAAGGATAAAGTATCTGTTCAGCAGAACCGTGATTTTCAATATTTTACCAACTTAAATCAGTTTGAGGTGGATGTTTAAATCAGCCATATCCTTGAAAAGTAAAACTTGAAAATAAAAATCCCACATGTCAAATTCTGCTACCAGCCATCATCATCATCAACATTATTATTATTGTTGTTAAGCAAATAATAAAAATTACATGAATGAATGAAAATCACATTACCAATAAAAATGGAGAGTAATTTAATTAATTCATAATTACCATTAAATACAAAAAAAAAACATTATATACTCACATAAAGTGTTGTAGAGTATAAAGAATTAATACAAGTTTGTACATTGGTAAAGTCTTGACAACACTGAAAATGACTTTCTTTCATGATACAGTGTGAACTTTTGTCAAGATTATTTACCAAAATGGATTCAATCTTCAAAACAAAAATAACAAAATAACAATATACGTTCGTTAAAACAAAGGTAAAAATTAAAATAATCCCAACATTTCATTCACAATTGACTACGAAAGAAACAACCAGTTCCATTTCCTAGATGTCAACATAAAAAGAAGAAACGATGGGACGATTCAAAAATCTGTCTACAGGACTGGTCAGTACTTAGATTATCACGGCTTTTGCCCAACCAGTTACAAACGAGATCTAGTAAAAACGCTCTTCAGCAGAGCCAAAGAAATATGTTCGGAAGACAAGATTGAAGAAGAACTCGCAGTCATCGAAAAGAACCTTATCGAGAATAGATATCCTCGAAAGTTCATATTAAAGTATAGAAAAGAAGAAGCACACAAACCGAAACCTGACACCGTTGAAAAGAAACCAGTTTTCATCTGCCTAGCGTACAAAGGGGAAGACGTATCCACAAGAACACAAAAAAGAATCACAGGTGCATTAAAAAGAACGTTTTCAGCCACCAGACCGATCCTATTTCACAACACTGTGCTCGTTAACCCAGTCAAAAGTAGATGAGTACCCTACTCACGTCAACTCCAACTGCATTTACCAATTCACGTGCACTTGCGGAAGCAAGTACATAGGAAGGACTGAGAGGACAGCATCTACTAGATTTTCTGAGCACATTCCTAAGAGTCTCCGTACAAAAGGAAGAAAAGTATTATCGAGTGCAGTCGCCAGACATTTAGTTGACACAGGACACACAGTAGAAATTAGCCAAGCCTTCAAAATAATCAATACACAAAGAAACCCACGGCTACTTCGCTTTGCAGAAGCCATTGCTATCAAGAGATTTCGACCAGACCTCTGTATACAGAAAGATAGTGTGATTAATCTTTCACTACCTTGGTAACCCTAACTCTATTTTATTTTTGTTTTGCCTTTCTGTCAGTATGCCTGTGTGTTTGTCTTGTTACGTGACATTCTATTCAATTTTGACCTTCAAGTTTCTAAATCTACTTAATTCTCTGTTTAAGTTAAAAATGTTACTTCACTATTCACGCCCACCCTCTTAAACTCTCCACCACAAGATGTATAATTTCACTCTGTTCTCTAACCGTGACCCTGTAATATGCCTCTAACCAATCTGTGTTTTCCAACAGAAATCTGAACTCTTAACCCTCTAATCTAATTCCACTATATATAATTAGTTGTTTTTCGACACCGAATAATCTTTCTTTTTTTCTTCCTTCACGTTCCCCAATGGAACATAGGGCCTCAAGCTAGCAGCTTGAAGATTCTGTAGCAGTGTTCATTTTTACAGGATGGGGTTGCTAGCCTCATGCCCAACCTTTCCTCTTTACCAGCATTATTTCTGGCTTAGCGAGGTAAAGGAGTGCGTCGGCCGGGGATCGAACCCCGGACCATGCGCATCGTCGGCGAGCGTCCTAACCGCTATACCACCGACGCAATAATAATAATCTGTCTACCTACATCAAATTCTGGAATTGTGTTCCTTGTGCCTTCTATCTATAACTCCAAGTAATTATGAAAAAGTATGTTTCACAACTTTTTTGAAACTTATAATTTGATTTTGTTTAGGATGTATGCAGTTGATGAGAATCCACGAAATAAAACGAGCTCGTATTATCCTGCAAACATGTTCGTTCTTTCTCTCTTCAAACTAATAAAATAATTGAGTTTTCACTCGTTCTTTTTTCTTGAGAAGTGAATTATCTAGGAAGTAAGAATACGAAAAGAAGAGAACTCTTTGCTAACTCATGTGTCCTTAGCTTCATAAAGAAATCCAAGGAGTTCAGGTATGTGTGTTTTTTCTCCAGTGTTCTGTCAGGCTTGTTAAAGTAAAGTCAAAAGTTGCCTCTATTGATGATTGTTTCATAAATCATCGGTATCCGAAGTATTTCTGGAAAGTTCTATGAAACAGTTAGTTACATACACGAATATCATCAAACTTCGAATTATCATGCTTTAAATCTAATTGACGATCTGCTGTCACTTCTACTTACAATGGAACAGAATATCGGCTAAATGCGCTGTGTGCTTGATGATTTATCTAATGATGTATGTTCAGAATTTGAAGATTATGTTTCTACTGTCACTAAAAGACGTGTACAAGAGTTGAAGTACACTCTCTTACATTTCTTGAAACCAGTGGAAGTCCTCAGGAAGTCAAGTTACAAAAAGAGATCTCGTTGCTGATTCATGTATTCTCAATTATACGTAATGGGAATTTTTCAAAGCCTAAAAACTTTTCATCATTAGAAACCAGACTAAACTAGATACCATAAATTTACTGATTTCTAGTGAACTATCGGTTATTATATCGCAAAATATTGTCCCTTCTGAAATTTATTCCTATAGTGAGGTAATACACACGCCTACATTGCTGTTGAGAATTATATTCTGTGTAAAAACATGATTACCTTAAGCTGTACAGTTTATTTAGCACCCAAGACTACAATTCATTTTATAAATTTTATGCGTCTATAAAAATGAGTTACACTTTTGAACTAATATTGTGGTGAGAGCTGGCTGCTAGCTAAATTGGTAGACGGTAATTTACGTCAATGCTTACATCCCCAATATTGGTCGTGGGAAAAATAAGAACAAAGACTGATTCAACAACTAACCACAGCAGACTTTGTGTAGGCGTATACAATTGGCATATAGATGATCCGACATTCAAGAAACAGCAATAAAGAGATGAAAGAATAACTTTCAGTGAGAAACAACCACTCAGGAGACTGTGTTTTTCTTTTAACAATAATCTATAATAATGTACATAGAAATATATAAATATGTGTTGATTTCCTTAATAAACAATCTGTTGCCTGGCCCTTGTCTTCTGTTGTTACAAAATGACTTATGAAACTTATATTTCATTTCAATAGACAAATTTCATCGAAAGCTGTCCACTTCGTTCCACACTAAAGAACAGATAGCTTGGTAGTTGAGAAGAATAAGCACCAAAGAACTCTGGAAACGAGTGAACCAAGGGCCTGTTGACCCAAAAATATGCAGGAGGATATGCAAATGAATCGGACGCATCCTAAGGAGGTCACTGAATGACACCATGGACTAGGTCGTCAAGTGGCACACAAAGGGGTAACGATGTGATGAGAGTGAGGCTGAATGTTACAGGGTTGAGACCGTATGAGAAGAAAGTGAAAGTCTGTAGGCACTTGAGGAGTCAGCTGAAAAAGACTAAAGGGAACAGAGTTCAATGGCTATATGTTTCTAAAGCTCTGCGTTCCACTCGGAAGTCAAAGGAATAGTAGTAATAATAACAATAATAATAAAATATCATCATGAAAGAGTTTGACGCGTGAAAGTTTGAATCGCCAACCAATTTTGACTTAGAAATCGCATGTTCTTATAACTCCCAACCAAAACTGGGGGGATTTACAGTTCCAAAACAAGTGAAGCTTTTGATAAGAATATTATTAAGGATGTTGAGTTTTAACGCTGAAAGATCTACAAGAGTCAGAAGTGACGTATTTCAAAGTGCAACTATATCTTCCAGTTACTGGGTTACAGGTTCGAACTCTATTCAACTTGCAATCTGTGAAAATCTAAGCTGCCTTGACAGCTTTCAACACACTAGGTGTGACTAATTTTCACGTACAATGAGATACATATTATTACTAGGTATTTCCTATCTAACTTCAGAACTGCCTACATTGTGTAGAAACAGGACAAAAACAATTTAAAACTAAACCTATCTAACATGATAACTGGCGTGGGACACTACTCCAGGCTTACTATGCAGTTTAAGATGTCAAAATTTTCCAAAACATTCCTCTTCAATAACTGCCTTCAAAGAGTAGTCTTTCTGATTTATCACTACTGTGCATAACATTAAGATACCCTTTCTTCATTAAGCTCCAATGTGTGTGGCGTTATAAAGTATTCAGTTGGTTATTATATCTTTAAAACGAAAGCTTAGTCCCACTTTCGTACATATGAGCTATTCAGGATTTGTACAGCATAATACTAAGCAGTATTCTCAACGTAACAAAGATAGTGGTTTCCCAAATTTCATAAACTCTTTAAAATTAGACACAAAAACTGTTTTATTCCAAAGTGGTCGGTCGGTTTTCGACATAGAACTTTGCGCATATGTGTGGCAGTTCAAGTCACCACACTCCATGTAGCACACGAAGCAAGAGAAGAAAGTAGGAGAAATGCATAATATAGACAGTAAACAGAGGTGTGAGGCAAAGGAATAGTAATAACGGAGAACAAAAGTTTCATTGGAAATCATAAGTCACAAGGAGTGGATGCATCTGCACCAGCCATTGAGAACGATTTTGAGCCATGTCACCAATTGTTTCCAACCATTGGTTTTACCGTCCCGAGGACCCCAACCAGGAAGCCAGTCTACACCTTCCTACGTGGCTTAGACTAACTGTTGTGGATTTCATTGACTGGTGCCATGCCTTCGTTTGACTGCCGCTAGCTCTTTTCCAGCCTGGCCCTTTATCAGCTAACATTGCCCGTCCAGAAAAGCGATGACTAGGCATACGTAGCACATGTCCTAACCATCTCAATCGATGTAGCTTCACAGCCTCGTCGATTGATTTCCCCTCCTTACCTAGCACTCAACCGAATCCTAATCTCAGTATTGCTCACCCTATTATACCATTTCACATGGGAGATAGAACGCAGGCACCTATGATCAAAGACAGCAAGCTAGGCCTTTTCATGTCTTTCGCTCTCAATGGCCAGGTCTCACAGTCATAAAGGAGGACGGAGCGGATTGATGAGCAGTACACCCGCCCTTTGGTCGATAGCCAGCCGGATATCACGTCTACGCCAGAGACGGCGTAAACTGGCATATGCGAACCTAGCCAGAGCACCGACACTTTGTTGATAATCGGGCAGCAGCCTTGAATTTAACTGTCTTTGATACTAATTTGCAACACTGTGTAGGTATAAGTGTGGATAATTTAGTCTCATTAACCTATTTAGGACAAAGGTTAGAATTGTAACCAAGATGCAGAATGCTGAAGAGTGATCAAAAGTCAATTAAGTACTTCAGTATTCATATTGGTTCTGTACATATCCACAATAGTCGCACCTAATGTCTTATATTTTTGGACAACTTCCAGTATCAGATGTTAGGTAACAAATTCTACGCATGAGTTAGTTTGTAGAGATTTGATTTGTTTCAAGTTCAATCAAGGATTTATATCAGTTACAGAACCATTGAAAACCAGGAATAAACTCGACATCTGTTTCATCCTAGTTTAGGGCTTATCAGAAATACTCACCAACTGGGTTTCGAACCTAGGAACTTCCAGTTAAAAGGCAAGCTCATAGACCATGCAGCCACTGGGACCTGACTCAATGGCCAGCACGTGAATTCTAGCTGCTAGTGATTGGTGATTTTAGTACGACCACTAGCCAGTGTCATCGGCGGCGAGTATTTGCCCTCACTCCTGACTGAGTGAACCTCACTGCTCATGTCTTCTCAGTATAGCTCCAGTCAACTTCATCCTGTGGCCAGTCACTGACGAGCATCAGTAATATCAGTGAGCACTGCTGATGAGTCCTAAACTAGGACGAAATAGCTGGATATCTAGTACTTCCTGGTTTTCAATGGTTCTCTAAATGATATCAGTATCTATGCAGACTGCTAGATGCTGTTTGTAGCTGCAAAATATCCGAGATTTGCATCTGACTGTCAAAAAGCTAGTCCCGGAATAAGAAGAATTGATGAGTCTTTAGTTCGTGCTTAGTTGTGTCACAACAGCTTTTTTGATATTCCCTGTTCCCTGAAATTATTTCGACAAAAGCCGTTTTGCTTTTAGTACAGAACCGAAATATGGGAAATAACAACAACGACAAAAACAAGAACAACGAATATAACAGCATAGGCGTATTACTTTTATGCCTTCTTTTAAATACTTTTCAAGTTGATCTTGAAACTTTTGAAATCGACGTATACACTTATTACTTGGATGCTTATTGTTTTCATTCCTACATAAATGAATAAGAAGTAAACTAAAAAGGTCAAATTGATAATGCCTTCAATGTCATGAAATATAATTTAAGCAAATGACACAATTTTTTATTAATATTCCCTTGCCTTCCGAGTGGAACATAGGACTTCATCAACACATCTCCACTTTGTTCTGTTTTCTACCGTTCTCTTCAACTGGGCCCACGATTTCTCGAACTCTGTCATCTCGTCCTCACACAATCTCCTCCATGTTACCCTCACACCGACCACCTACTTGTCGCTTCCCATTTGGACTATACTCTAGGGCCTGAAGCGCGATGTCATTCATTTGTTTAGCGATTGACTCTTGGTTGATTTATTCCCAGCCAGAATTTATCGTTGCTTATTCTTTCTGCCCATTTGATCTTCAGCACGGAGCCAGCAAAGGCAGCTGTTGATGGAAGTCTGCCACCTGTTGGAAATCCTTCTCGTGACACGCCAAGTTTCAGACCCGTATGTATATTGTGCTTAACTAGGAGTAATATTCATGCTCATGAGTAGAATAGTTATGATATTAACTCTGCCTGTGTGAATACAAGATAAAAGGTTTTGCGCCTATGCTTTGATTTAACACGGATGCATTATGAGACAGTAGGGGCGGGGGTATTGATGAGGTAAATGAAAATAATACTTAGGCAGAACTGAAAACATTTATTTCCCCATACGAATTTAAAATAAGCAACAAAGGTTAATAAAGTAGGACTTATTGAATTCATCAAATTCGCGTAGAACTCGTCACTTGAGTACTATGCATTCGGGGATATATATATACCACTGAAACTACTTTGAGAGATATAAGGCTGTTAAGCAAATAAACCACACTGAATTAATCATCGTGACGACCATCTCCTTTTGAATACAGAGACCTGGTTTATAAACTCGAATTGCACAAGCCTATGCAGTTGCAAGCATCTTCTTATTTCTTTGTCTGCTGACAATAGTGAATGACTTGACAGCGTCAATATCATATCCATAGTCCACAAGATATTATGTTATTGAGGTTTTTGGCACTTTGCATTCAGCTGTTTTCAACCACTTTGGCAAATGCTCCATCTTGTGAGTAGAAAATCGCCTTTCTGTACGACTGAAATTGATATACGCAGCTTGAAGAGTAGAGTATCGGCGACTGGTCTTTCCTCGATTGTGGAAGCACTCGCTTATTGGTGTAAAGGAAAACAAATTTTGCAGCATAATAAGTTCTCTTGATAGCTTTATCTAGTCTTTGCTTAACTACTTCTTGAAACCATTTGGATAGATTTGCAGGGCCTCATTTCTTTGGAGTATTTATTGATGAACTTCTCAGGATATACATTCTTAGATAAAATATCCTTCAGGGCTTTTATTTCATGCTCAATTGTACTGTCAGAACAAATTTTACATGCTCTATTGAACTGCTTTCCGACTAAGTTCTTTTTATACTGGATTGGAACAAAGCTCTTGAAATCTTGTCCATGAAGACTTTCTAAATATAGGTTTTTCGATTATGCCATCAATCCTTTTCACTAGAAAAATGTCTAGGATTTTAATAGTGTCTACTTTAGACCATAACATATATACTATGAAAATGAAGATCACAAAAAATGTACAGAAGATAGAAATGAAACAAAGTGGCTCTTGTTTGAAAATAATGATCACAACTCAATGATAGTGAATTAAATGAAATAACGGGTACGGGGGTATAACATTAAAATAAGCTTTCTATCAGATTGTTGTTCCATATCCCTGTGAGGGCTGAGATATTATATGGACATTCAATTAGAAACAGATGATTCCATTAATGAATCATTCTCTAAGCCCGCAATTCAAAGTCCCATCATCAGTTTAGCAGAGGATTGTTACAACCTGGGTTTTTTTGGTTGCAGGTGAAAAAATTAGTTGTATTCGCTATTTGTTCCCTCCAGGAATGAACAGCTGAGCTATGGTAAATAGCTGCAAAATGCATTGAATCCAGCTTCATTCTAATCTGTAAAATGAAAACAGTTGCATTCTTACGTGTTTGTCACATAAGATGGCTGCACCAGAATGCTTTACCACTGCAGTAAATGGGAGTTTAGAAACTACGTTCTCAGCTGTTTAATTTCTTCCAGACACTGAAGTTGCGTGTTGTTCATGCTTTTGTTCCTCAAAACCGATGGAGAAGCTACCATACGGCATACTGCAAACACGCAGCCCTAAACTTAACTATCTATGACATTATCAACAAGGTTACAAGTTGTCTAACATATAAAACGCCATTTCAATAACACCCTAGAGAAGCATTTTTATAATGTGAAAGGAATTGAAAGCGCCTGTTGCGCACTTTGTAACTTGATACGTTTCCTACTGATTACTTTTCTCCGAATGCTATTAACCTTATTTCAATCGCACTCTGTGCCACAGTGAACAACCAAAATCTCACAACACTGCAAAAATACTTCCAAGAACTAGGGAAGTAATGTTGAAGCAGGATTACTTCTCTCATTCTATTCTGCTTTTCACCATTAATCATATTATCAGCACACTGTTCAGCACCATTCTAGCATCAGTGTAAACACAAGCTTGCATTGGAGACATGTGTCTCGATCGTAAGAAATATACATTTCTTAAATATACAAAGACCTCACCATAATTCCTTGCAATGAACTGGTTGCAATGTAAAGTTCTTGATTAGTGAGGTGAATTGATTTTGCTCATCATGATCACTGTGAAATTGCTTTGGTGACGGTCTGCTTGTGATTTCCATAACACATTCGCTCTAGAGATCGTTGTAAAATTTTCAGTGATAAAGAAACTTACTCTAATTGATCTTTGTGCCTCTTCGATATCCCTATACAGCAATGACTCCGCCAGAGAAACTCCATCCATAATGCAAAATGAGAAAAATAGTCGTTTTTAAGTATGTACTTTTTCCCTCAAGCAAAATCGCCTACAAAATGCAATGAACTTTTCTAACCATATGTATTCTGAGGCAGACAACAGCATGAGACATATCTCAGCGTACTGAGATCATGAAATACGGTTTTTTTAACGGTAGAGCTATGTCGTAAAACAGGCTAACGAAATCAAACAAAACTTTTGAATATGTCACAAGAAGGATACATTAAAGAATACCAAGATGTAGACCAGACAACAATTATGTTCAATATCCAATACCATTTTCACGAGCTAGTGTAAACCAATTTGATTTCCCTGTGCTCGCTTCTGGATTGTGAGGTGACGGTTCCTGGTCTTTGGTAAACTTCTCAGTAGTTCGGCCCTCCCCTCAACTGTCATAACTATGGCTGACTGCAAAAGGAGTGGTGATTGGATTAATTATGTTGTTTGTAGTATGTGGTATGTTCAGACTGTTACTGCTGTGAACGGAGTTGAACCTTTCACCATTAAGTCTTCTGGTGTCGTCGACAAAATCAAAGAGATAGTAATAATAACAAATATAATTGGTGTAGTTTATTCAGACTAGTGGACAGGTTGAAAGTCATACCATTGGCAACCGCCCAGTCTTCCAGAAGCTTCACATCTGCCTGCAGCCTTTCTGAGTCTTCCGAACACTTTTTCGCTCCCCAAATCCTTACGTCGTCAGTGTAATGAAGAGCCAAGCAGCTTAGACGGCATGGTAGATCACTGCTGAAAATCAAAATCATCAGTGGCCATAGGATAGAGCCCTAATGATGAGCTGTGCCAGGATGATTAGACTCGATTGACCTGAGTGCAGAATCACCTTTCACCTAAGTAGTCCTTCAACCATGACAGGAGAGGTTCACCTATACCTGTCCGACCTATTCTGTGCAGGAGAAGGTCATGTTGAACTGTGTCAAATGCCACATGGACTGGAAAATTCGTACCTCAGCATGATGTCCAATCGTCCCAAGTTGATAGTAGGTCTGTTACACAGGGCATGCCTTTCTTGAAACCATGTTGGCTTTCATGGTGTTGGTTAGTCCGATCGATATGCTCCTGATGTGATCGTCAATAATACTTTCCAGTAATTTTTATGCCACTGGGATTAGCTCCACTGGTCTATAACTGGTGGCATTTCGCCCCTCCCCACTCCCTTGGCAATTTCCCTGAATCCATTGAGTGTTGGAACAAGTCGCATAAGGGCCTACAGTGAGCTTTGGTGCACTGTTTCGGAAAAAATAGCCTGATTTCGTCACAACCTGGGGACTTCCCAGATGTGAGTCTCTGTAGCTTCCTTACTACCACTGCTGGGTTTATTTGGAGAGTAACCACTAGGTTTTCCTCCGGTAAAGTAGTAGCACTACCATTTCAGTCAGTACCAGTAACACCCAAATTGCTGTTTAGCTGTTTGTCGAAGTCTGATCTGAATGCTGCAGCCATTTCCAGATCAATGAGGTATTGACAAATTGAACCTACTACGGCGCATGCCCCTGGTTGGCTAGTTATCTCTCCAACATAAGTCGGTACAGGCTTTTGGGGTCTACCAGGAGTTTTTTGGCAAGGTTAGCTTGAAATGACCTCCTGTCACTCCTGGCTCTTTTGTTGCATTGGTTCCTGTGTTTCAGATATCCATTATGGTCAGTTTTACTCCTGGATATTCACCATGTACACTAAGGCTTCCACTTTGCTTGCGGAATATGTTGAGTACCTCTCTCCAGTCGTGAGGACGTTTACTTCAGCTGTAGTGTGGCTAGAGGGCCGGCATCCGAGATTGCTATGAGAATAATCTTCTTTGCCTACATATACATATATAAGTATACTCTTACGCTGATTTACTGGCTTAATAACAGCTTTTAATCCTCTCTATTATGCTGCTTGGTCACGAGAGCAGAAATTGAAGGAAATGAACATTTTGTGTACTGATGTAAAATTTATTTGGGATTGTACGTAACGGGAAAGAGCTGAAAAATTACAATGGCTCAATCTCACCCTGCCTAATCGGTTTCTTTTGCTTAGTCCAGATAAAATAGTTGTTAGTTAGTGCGTAAATTTAGAAAAGAAAAATAGATAAAATTATACAGGTACCTTATCCATAATGGAGTTATACAGGTACCTAAGAGAAACGGATATTCAGATTAAGGAGAATATTGGAACGAAGAGAACTGTGCAGCTACCAGGATAGAATTCGGTAGAGAGCTCATTGGTAGATTGTGATATGTTATGATTTCATCTCAATACGGTAGGAAGAGGAGCCTGTTGGATAAATTTTGTTTAGTCCTGCATGACTATCCAATCTACGCCTACAATTTTCCAATGAATGAACAGCAGATGCTGGAAAATTGTTCTAGGAGCAGCATATTTGAAGAGAAAAGGAATGAGCGAGCACTCCATTTTCGAGATCTGTTGGGCGAACCTTCATTGGCTGACAATATTTATTTATTTCTTATATATATATATATATATATATATATATATAATATCCGAGTATCCGGATGAATCTGCGTGTCGCTTTAACATGCATGACCAAGTACACGCACAAAGTCACACAAATTTCGTGTGACTTATATTGTACAAACTTATTTACGTAAAGTGAAAAATTACATTTTATGATCACATTTAGTTGTGATTGGAGTGTCTGAATGTCTTGATTTCTCATGAAGCCCTTAGCAGTTGTATGGCCATGAATAATTAAAACATGGAGGCAGTTCTTATGAGTGAGTGTTCAGTGCAGTTTGTTTCGCATCTCACTGACTTGAACTAGTACATTTTCCTAGAAAATGTTGAGTTGGCGGGCAGTTAATAGCTCGAGTCCTCAGAGGGAAACTAGGATCTTGGAATGCGTATGCCAGCACCTCCACACAGTTTTAAGTATTTACGACATATACCTAGTGCATATCAAATTTCGGTAGGTGTTGGAACTTATTCGTTATGCGGTTGCCAGGTTCCTACGTGATATTTAGCAAAAAGCATAGCAGTCATACCTTATTCGACCAAACAATTTGTGTAAGCAGACTGACGAAGTGGTGAATGATCAGATCATCGGATAATCTAATTTTGGGTTCGTGACACTAAATCTTAGATGCAATATGACGCCCAATATTTAGTGGTTATATGCTGGTGAGTTTAGTTGGATTGTGTAGTAGAAGTGCAAAATAAATCATGGCCGGGGTAACAAGAAGATTTATGTAACTTTGTGCGGATGGGAGGGTCCTTAAACATAGGTTAGATGTTAAGTAGTCCGTATATACATAGGGAAGCATGGGTAAATTTTGTTTTCTCATTTTATAACCCTTTGCGTTCCCGGTGGAACAGAGGGCTTCAAGCTAGGGCTTTGAAGTTTTGGCATCAGTGGTCCTATTTTTACGGAATAAGATTGCTAGTCTGACGTCCAACCTTCCCTCTTTGCTGGGCTTATTACCTGCCAAGCGAGGTCTGAGAGCATGTCAGCTGGGGATGGAATCCTTGAATAAATGAGTGGCTGACAAAGAATCTAACTCTATGCCACACTTGAGCGAATAAATTTCCTCAAACTCAAAGTATTACATTGGAGTTATGGGCGATTAATTCTGATGTTGTGTATAGAAGGTAGAAGGGGAAATTCTGGTTAAGCTTTAGTCGTCTTAGACAGAGTGACTCAAGTTCGCATTTTATGCACTTATCCCCAAAGATACGATTGCTTATTAGGGACTGTGCAAAAGCATGCTGGATATTTTCGGCATGAACCCTATCCTACTCATACATAAAAATGAAAATGATTGGGCATTACTCGAGTACCGGATAAACCATGGCTTTGTACAGAAAAAATTCAGCCTCAACTGTGTCCAGTTTTCGGTGCAGCAGACTTGAAAAATCTTCACCAACTGAAACAGTGGATCATGCATGCTGTGTGAGCGTTAAATTGCGGGAGTATAACAATACTAGGGATTATATAGAGCTTCGAAAAATACGTCGCCTCGATGTATTCAGTGAAGGAGCTATATAAGGATTCCACACTCATTATAACTCAATGGTATTTGCCAGGTATTGTTCCAATTACAAATCTTGTTTAATTGTCTTAAGTATGTGTGAACCTTTCTTTCAGGGCTGAACTATTCATCATCACACAAAACCTTCTTTGTTACCAGTCAGGGTAGATGTACTAATAGCTCTGTTATTTGGTTTGGTGATCTTCATTTTTATTTTGACTTTCAATATGCGCTTTTAATTCCACTTATATTTATTTTCTAACCTCTTAACTTTATTAATTTCATATGTATTCCTATGACAAGCCATGCGTGACCAGATTGTCCAAAATGTATTGCGCAAATACAACACTACACGATTCAGACAAACTGCGTCTTCTTACCACTTTGTCTAAATATCCACTTGTGTCAAAAATAGTGACTGATGTAATCGCATATTGATATAAACTTCCGTTAATTCTTACTGTGCTAACTCGTTAATGATTATATTAGTAGTTGTATTTATGTACACATCCTATGAACCCTTGTTTTCTTTTTTAGCTACTATGTAATTCCAGTGACCTCGTGGGATTCATTGCTGAAGAAAGTGGTTTCCAGTATCGTTGATTTTGTATAGTGTGCTGAATCACTAATAAATATGTGGGACAGCACTCTACTGCTAAGGCTCCTGAGTTCGAATGGCTTCTGCAAAATAAGAGAATAAATAAAATTTAAAAAATAGAAGTTGAAAATTTGCCTAAAGCTGAAGTTTAAATAACAAACTCCCTGAATGCAAGTACATGGTATGAGTCCCCTACTTCAGAAGGACACCTAAATGTATACTTCAGAAAAACAGTAGTTATAATTAAGCCCTCGCTTTTCTTCTACATAGTTCACGCACTTTGACTTCTGTGTTTAACTCCTATTCAACCTATATAAGTAGGTAAAATTACCATCTTTTTTCACTTAAACTTTTTTTTCTTTTCGCAAGAAAGACTAGAATTCCATCACTAAAATCTCAGAGGG